GATTTTAGCGGTCTTCATTCATTTGCTGGACCGTTAAAAAGGTGTTATTTATTTTATATTTAATTTTAGTTTCAGTAACAATTTATTGTTTATTTAATCATAAAATAATACAAATTTAAAAAATTCCAGTTTTCAATGTTGTTTAATAATGTAAATGCAACAGAATTTTGAATAACTGAAGGGGTTACACTATTTTGGATAAATGGATTTTTGGATAATCCAGAAAGTTAATTTTCAGTGTAAAAATACAAAGAAACATGTACATCTGAAATACATTTATTGTTGTAATTACAGTATTGTGCGCATTGTAACTGCATTGAAGATAGTCCACTACTTTTGTTTGTACTTTGAAAATAATTCCATTTCATACATTCCAGAAACTTTTTGGTCATCAGTTGTATTAAGTTGGTAACATTGGAGAGAAAGCATTAAATGAATGTTGCAATTTTTCAAAAATCTAAGATGTGATGGGGCATTGATTGGGATTTCTTAGTAAAGTAAAACTACATTAAAATTCATAAAAGAATAAATACTGTTGTAGAATTAAGTATAATAATACAATAAAAAAAATACAGACTGTTTCAGTTAACTCCAATTACAGTTAGTCAATATTCAGATAATCAAGATTCTACTGTAAATTAAATATTAATATAAAGTACCTGAATGTTTCCAAAAATTTCCTCCAATATACTTGTCATTAATAAATCTCTCAATAAGTTTGGAACTTGTTTACCTTTCATTAAGAAAACCTGTTTAAAAAGTATTATATAATACTAATCCAGGCTCAAAATTTTAATTACATAGTTAACATTTCAATATATTAAAATAATTTTAAAATGCAATTTTTATATTCCCTTTAATTTTTAAATTTTTGTTTTATTTCATATTATGCAGTGTAACCACAATTTATGAACATACCTCATTTCCAAAAACTTATAAATCAAAATCTTGTAAATAGGTACAAGCTTTTCTATTATTTCTTATGGCCAAAATTTATACTTTGTTCCAAATACCAAGTCAGCCTATCCATGTCCTCCAATTAACATTAAAATGTTACAAAACAATTACTTGCCTATTGCTGATAAATAAATAATTGTTTTAAAAATAACTGCCATAATATGAAATAAGAGAAGCAAATAAGACATAAAAACTAATACATATATTAGTTATTAGATATTTCTTTAGTTAAGTGAGAATTCTGACAAGATCCCTTCAGCATTGTGTAAAAATTCACAGATTTGTATTTGGAGTGGAGAAAATTACAAAAGAATGCAAGAAAGTCTCAAGAGATTTTTAAGCACCATAAAGAAGATTTTCAAAACAATCTGGACAACCTGATTGATATCACACATGCAAATGCTTTACAATCCATCAAATTAGATGAAGATAGAGTCTTTATATTGCAACAGAGAAAAGCCATCTTGCAGGTGTGGACCAGAAACTTGCTGAAAATGAAAAATGGTCAAGGAAAAGGAAACTTGAAGAGAAGAAAAGACAAAGTAAGAAATCAGTAGTATCCACCACTTCAGCTGTACTTCCTCTTTCATCATCTGAAGATGGAGATGGCATATTTTTCAGTTCAGATGAATGCAATGATGATGAGTCTTGTTTGCAGTTTCTAGATGATACATCAAGGCAAGAATACTGCAAGATGAGAACCAAAGATTACTGACAAATCAGTGGCTGCTTTAGACAATGAAGAATTTCCTATTAATAGATCTTCCATTCATCAAATCAGGCAAAAGAAAAGAATGGGATGAAACCATTAAAGCTGCATTTAATAATGCACTTCTGACTGTTCACTGGGATGGTAAGCTGTCAATTGCATTGAATGTTAGGGAATCAAAAGAAGAAAGACTCCAGATAGTCCAAATGTTATAGTTGGAGACAAAGAGCAGCTCATAATGCTCCAAAATTAGAAAATTCTTCTGGTAAAGAGCAAGCACAAGCTGCTGGGAATACAATAATAGATTGGAATTTGGAAAATTACGTAAAAATTCTTTGTAGTGATACAACTGCCTCAAACACTGGCCACTTCAATGGTACATGCATCTTTATTGAACAAAAATTAGATAGTGAAGTATTTTTCCTGTCATCATCACATCTACAAATTAGTCTTACAAGTGTATTTGAAAGCAAAATATGTGAGGTAACAAGTAGTCCTGACATACCTCTCTTCACATAAATAAGAGAAAGTTGGGAAAATGTTAATGCTAGTAATTTTCAAAGTGGTAAAGATTATGCAGAGTTTTTCAGTGAATGAGAACTTCAAGAATTATTGGACTTTTATATAGCTGAACTGCAGAAAGAAATGCCAAGAAGTTATTATCATGAACTTATAGAGCTATGTGTACTATTTTTGAAAGGTGACACAGAAAATAAAAAAAAGTCTGTCCTCCCAAGGTTATGCATCAAGCTCAATGGATGGCAAGAGCAACTTATTCTCTAAAAATTTTTCTCCTAGAGTAAAATCTTAAACTATCCATCAGAGAATAGGAAGCTTTACGTGATATTTCTATTTGTTATAACAGTTTAATTAAGCCATGGTTTAAGTGCAGTGCAGCTATAAAAGCCCCTAATCAAGATCTCTGCTTCTTGAACTCCTTAAAATCATATGAAGTGAGAGATACAACCATTTCTACAGCAGCTTTAAAGAAGCATAGCCAACACTGTGATATTTATCTGAAGAACTACTTTAGTGCTTGATATTTCTTATGAAGAGATGGCATGACATTCAGGTCACTGATTTTGATTAAATTCTGTGAAGTTATAGTGCATCCCCACAACTGACAGGTGTCAAGCAGTAAGGAGCAATACTCAAATTAAATGAGAAAAGTAAGGTTGAAAATTGCACATCACTTAAAACCTTTAGAATTCCTGTCATTAGCAGAGTAGTCAGTAGCTTGCTGGGGATATGCTGGTTTTGTAATTGTGAGGTTGGTGTTTTGAATCTTGGTGCTATCAATATTAATATATTTTTTTTCTAAAACTATAATTTTCACTTTATTCTTGGTGTTTTTAAAATTATTATATTTATTTAAAATTATAAACAACATTGCTAGACCCGATATATTATAAGATTAGACACCAACCAAATGCCAAAATTCTATTGGGCTAGTTTAAGGCTAATTACTAAATGAATTACGTAACCAATTTAGCTCTAGAGGTAAGCATTAAGCGCCATCTCGTATTAACATTAATAATTATAAATAAATTAATTAATTAAAATAATTTAGAACAGCTGGGAGAAAAAATTGGCCCAGAATATTCAAAAATAATTTATTTAAAATTATTTTTGAATATTCATGTACANTTTATTTAAAAATTATTTTTGAATATTCATGTACATACGGAATTCATACTAACATTTATGATAGCACGAAGATTCACATGACAGGATTTCTAAAGGTTTTAAGTAATATGCAATTTTCAGCCTCAATTTTCTCATTTAATTTTGAGTATTGTGTCTTACCTCTCAGTTAATGGGGATGCACTATAACCTCACTGAGTTTGATCAAAATTGCTGACCCAAATGTCATGCCATTCCCTCGTTAGTTATTGAATTTTTATTGTTGCTTAATATCCCCACCTCAATCATTCCTCATACTCAAGTTTCACGCTCAAGTTGGCATAGGTTAATTAATTAATGTCATCCTATCAGAATAAAACTTTATATTTGAGTAATTCTGACCAAATGCAAAAAATTTAGGAGTGGGCACAAACATTTTGACAAAAAAAATTTTTTCATGAAAATAAGGGACACCTTAATATATATATACAGTAGAGCATTGATTATCCAACTCTATTGGGGACTAGGGTTGGTTGGATAATTGAAAAGTTGGATAACCGAAAAGTATGAAAAAATCCATTATTAGTGTAGTATATTATTATATCCCATGTAATTAGTATATTAGTATATCGCTATTAACCTACTTCGCATTGAATTTCCCTCCATGTTAAGCCTAACAAAAATTTTTTTAAAATAATAATCGTCGCTATTGTATCGTTAAAAATTATTATTAAATTATTTTATTGCTCACAAAACAAACAACCACTCATAATTACTAGTGTTTCAATGAATAGTATATTCGGCCTCAGGCCGAATACTGGATATTCGGCCAGGAGTGTGGCCAAATAGCCGAATATTCGGCCATACTATTCAGCTCAATTAACGCGTGTACGAAAATTGGCGCGCAAACCGCATTATGGCAAGGACCCTACTCTCTATTGGCCCTCTGTCACTATGCTTCGCCAATCTCGTTAATTCTTGACAGTTGAAGCGGACAGACACAAGCGTCATGGCAGTATGTGATAAGTGATGATATCAAATGTGGATAACAATGAAATGACCTACACATGTAAATAACGGAAAAAGAACAGAGAAAGACCGCGAAGTGAAAATGTGAAAATAAATACGAAATTGAGTTGATAACATAATCGAACAAGTTGAGGCAGCTTATTGGCGCGAAACTTGTGGCCATGAATGCCAAACAATTGTTGTCATAGACTTCGGAAAGCTTAATGCTTGTAATGAAAGTCACTTAGTGTGCACAGGCGAAAGCCTGGGGCCGTTCGAGCTACCAAGCTGTCTTGAATATGTGAAATCATAACTGTGACTGATATGGACACCCTATCTGTCTCTTTTCTCCGCTATCACCAGGCTCTGAGTCACGTAATTGTAAAATGGGAAATCTAGGACAGAAAAGTGATGAATCGAAAGTATCGTGAGCATGTATTATGATGTATGCATAGGCATATGTGGACTAGAGCCAGGGCCGGATTAACCCACTTTGGGGCCCTAGACATTTTCTTCTTCCGGGTCCTCTCCCGGCTCTTTCAATTAATAAATCTTGTTACTATTATAGTAGAACCTCGATTATCCGGACTAATTGGGGATGAAGGTAGTCAGGATAAGGGGAAATTCGGATAATCGAAACAAATACTTTAATTTGTCTTTTAATGATAATACACGTTTTCTTTTCGATGACATATTGGTAATATTAAAAATAAATACTGTATTTAAATCGTGATCAAATTTTCAAGAAACAAACGTTTGTATTATATTGAATTTGGACTACTATTGGCCAAAGCTAACAGACTATCTATTGTTTAAAAGGTCCTCTGGTGGCACAAGAAGACGGATTTTATAAAATAAAAAGCAGTTGAAACTGCATTTTTATGAATAAAAATTTGACAAACTATTTATCGTTTTATGATGAGTAAAATTTTTTCGTCGCATTCGCGGCTTTTAAGTAATGCGTAAACCTTCGAGGCGCGAGGCCCTTCGGACCGCGAGGCATAGGCGGTGGCCCACGTCGTCCATGCCTTACGCCGCCCTTGGTCATAGAAATGATGTAATTTGAATATAAATTATTTATAAATACGTATGTCAAGTTATATTTTTATTACGACGTAAAATATATTTAAGAGTTTACGACCACTGTGCTGGGTGAGACGTTGTTGAAACAAAAAAAGTTATGCATTCCATCACGTACATAAACAGTGTCGTAATTCGCCAAGTGCAAATTCGTAAAATTTTTGTTTATGTTGAACAATCCGGATAATCGAGGTTCTACTGTATTTCTATTAAATTGCATATGGACACTGCATCTGCTTTATAAAAAATAAAAGCAAAATTATTTAAATTAACAATATTTCACAGGATTTAAGAATACATATAGTTAATATTATTCTTATCGCTATAAAGAATATTCTAAATTATTGGGAGTTTTACTTTCAATAAGAAGAAACATAATACGAGGGTTGTTCAAAAAGTTACCGAATTTTATTTATTACAAAAAAAAAATACTTCACATACAATTTATTTGTCAGAGTCCCCTTCAAAGTAGTCTCCTCCGCAGCATATACACTTCCACTTTTTGAAAGTCCTGGAAAGCTTTTTCCAGAAAGCTCATAAGCTCCTCTGTCTTTTTTTTCTATCTCTGGAATGGTGGCAAATGTTTTTCCTTTCAGCACGTTTTTTAGTTTGTTGGAGAACAGGAAAAAGTCGCACGGGACCAGGTCAGGTGAGTAGGGTGGGTGGGGATGCACAGCGGTCTTGTTTTTGGCCAAAAACTCATGTGTTCTGAGGGACAAATGAGCCGGCGCGTTGTCGCAGTGAAAGAACCACTCGCGGTTCCTCCAAAGTTCGGGCCGTTTTCGCCTGATTTTGTTTCTTAGGCGATTCATAACACCAGGTAGTACTCTGTGTTGACTGTCTGGCCTGTAGGTAGGTATTCGTGATGCACAACCTCTTTGCATCGAAAAAAAACAGTCAACATCACCTTAACATTTGAGCGAACGTGTCGAGCGTTTTGGGGCGGGGGCTGTTTCACCCACCCGTGGGAAGTTTCCGTGAAGGATTTTCCGAGTTTCACACAGAATTTCACAGAACAACTGTGTTCTTTCAAAAAGCTGATTTCCGATTTTTCGCCAAATCCCAAAAACACCACTTCACATAAACGGCCGTAACTAACCACCAAAACAAAATATCAACAAACGGGTTGAAGGAAGTTACTCGGGAGGTTTCCGCGGACACAACGTTTCCAAGCGAATTAAAAATTAACAAACTGGAGGCGCGCTATTTAAAAAGTTCAGGTACTTTTTGAACAACCCACGCAGGCCTACATTTCATTTAGATTTTAGAATTCACAATAACCATATAAAAAGCAATATGTTTTTGTTTATTTGTTTATTATATACTGTTGTCCAACAGAAAAGTAAACTATCTTATTTACAAATCTTTTCAAAATAGACAGTTTGACCGGGCCCTCCTAAAAACCGGGCCCTAGACATTTGTCTCATTTGTCTATGCGATGATCCGGCCCTGACTAGAGCGATAGAGGAAAAAGAAAGAGCACTTAAAAAGAAGGATAGGCAGGGTCAGACCCTCACTGTCAGATGTGCAACAATTCTCGAACGAATAGGTGTGTACGTGTGCTGATCTTTGTAATTATAAATTGTGAATACATGTGACTAATATTATTTTCTTTTTTATTTTGTGCATGTTATAAGTTATAAATAAATATAAACAAACAACACTAACCTGATAACATTAAATCTAAATACCAAAATGATTAATTTACTGTGTTTTTGTTATTTCTTACTCCTGTTTTTAGGTATTCGGCCGAATAGTGATTAAATATTCAGTATTCGGCCAAATAGCGAAAAATAGGCCGAATAGTAACCAAATATTCGTTACATCACTAATAATTACAAAATTAAGCCTCGTTTAAATACTTGCCTCCCTTTCATGGTCGAGCCAGGTTGCCAGCTAAAACACGTAAAAGTACTATTAAAGTAGCCAAGACATAGCCAAATATTGTAGCGCCACATCACTAGCGGACATTTGAATTTGCCGACTAGAACGCAATCAGTTAACCAAGGTGACGGTTAGTCGGGGGTCAGATAATCGATGCTCTACTGTATATACATAACAGAGCATAAATGTTATAAGAAATTAATTTATTATAATAATTAAATAGTACCAGAAAATTAATACTTACATTTCCTAATGATCTTTCTATAACAAAAGATAAGTAAAGAATCACAAGAACATTATTAACAGCATCATCATGTTTTAACATGTTATAACATTTCAAAAAAATCTGCAACATTTTATAATTATAATTTTAATTAAGTACTTAAATTAGCTTAGATTACATTTATAATATATCTTGTAAAAATTTTTTAAATTCTTGAATCTTGAATAAAAATAAATTATAAAATATAATACTTCTTTATTGTTAGTCCATGTTAAATTATCGGATAACTCAAAGAATTGTTCTTCGGTCATTTTTTCATAAGTATTCTTAACATGTACAAAAACAGGAGCCAAATGACTAATGGCTTCTTCAAAAGTTATAGAATCCAATTGCTTGTTGCCTATAAATTTAAATTGTAAATTTAACAATACAGTTTTAATAAATAGCAAAATATATACATATTGACATTAAATAAAACTAGGCTTATAACATTTATTTGCATTTTTCACCGGATGCTCGCCCTCTGGCATTTAAAAACAAAACTATTCTATCTAGGTCGTTTGATTCATTCTTGTGTATTATCAGCAGTAAAGATGAATAGCGATAGAAAAAGCAAAGCTTTCTGTTGCATTCCAAATTGCAATTTCAAAGCCTTGCAGGAGCCCAATATAAGTTTTCGTCTATTCCTACATGAAAAATAGATGATTATTTGGAAATTGGTTATATTTATGAGCTTGTCTGAATTCTGAAAGAGTGTATTAGACTGTTAAGAATTGGCAGTTTCCCAATTATCTAGCTTTACATGAACAAGTTATGTTGTCAATTTTAAGACATATTTTCTTAAAGTTTAAAATTACAGTAATTTTGTGTGAGACATAGGATTGGATTTAAGCATTTCAAAGCCCTAAGCTGAACTCTGTAAGTCTCCTTACCAACCCATCACAATTTTAGAAGTCAATCATAAAGAGAAAAGAATTAAATCAGACTATGTCTCTGATTCAATAAGGATATTGGAAGAAAAAGATGTGAGGTTTCACTAGTCTTCTGTTTTATAACTGAATTTATTTAAATTTTTATACCCATTCCATTAAAAATCTTTTTTTAAATTGGTTTTATCAATTTTTTTTAAAAAGACCTTATGCTAATTCTTAGGAAAAAAAAATTAATGAAATACTACACAAAATAAAAAAAAGTAAAGTATATTTTGTTGGTTTGTAAAAAACTGTTTATTACAAAATTTGACTTTAATTTTCTTTTTTGTACACATGTTTGAGGCCCCTTGAAAGTCAAAGCCCTAAGCAACAACTTACATAACTTTTTACTTGTAAATCCGACCGATAGGACAATGTCAAAGCTGATGCTTTTTAACACAAAGGGCACGAATATGTATAGAATGATCTCGCTCACTTGTTTTGATACCATATAATGACATGTCCCGCTAGCAATAATTGTTCTCCTATAAAATTTCTCGATAAACAGCTACAAGCAGCATATATAGAGGATTTGATCCCGGGATCTCGAAAATCGGGATCCCGGGATCCCGACACTTTTCAGTCCCAAAATTTTCGGGATTAGGTTTTCCTAATCCCGAGATTTTCGGGATTGACATCATTTTAAAAAAGTTGCAAAATAGACTGTATGAAGCGAAACGTTCAGTGCCAGTGCTTTTAACAGAATTGCTTGCCTATCATTTTAATATAAAATATGAGAAATTTTATTCCAAGCAAGCAGCAGAAATTAACCTAGCGGGCTTGCGATGCTTGCTTGGAATAAAACTTCTTGTATTTTGAACTAAAATTATAGGCAAGCAGTTCTCACTGGGTTACTTGGTAATATACTTCATTTTTGTATTTTCGAATTTTCGCGGGCGCCAATCGATTTTCTGGCGCAGTCGAGAGCACTACTCAGTGCGTTTTACCTGTCAATGTGTCAGCCATCTTGTTTTGCCAGTGTGGTTAATATAGACCCGACGCCTCTCGCTTAGGGGGGTCGACCTTAGGTGAAAAGGTTACGACCCCCGCCTTGCCCGTGATCTGTCAGGATGATGCGAGAAAGTCTTTTTACGTTTGGGAGTAGTGGTTTGCTGGATGCTGAGAGACTCACACAGAGACCGAATTTACAAAATTAACGTGTTTATTTTTAGAAAGGCATGCTTACAATGATCGAAACAATCGGGATTGTAGCCTTTACTCCTACAATCCCGATCTGTGTCGACCGGACTGTTTTCTTCCAACCTCCCCGTGTCCTCGAAGCTATAACTAGAACGGGCTTATAAGTATTTACTAACGATTCCTCCAACTTCCATCAAACCTAAACGCGTTTTCTCAGCAGCTGCATATATGTGCAACAAATTGAGAAGCAGACTTGGTGATGAGACACAGGATGCGTTGTTATTTCTCAGATCATATTTTCGCAATTCAAATTAGAATGTTCCTATTAGATTAGTTTTCTTTATATTTAAGAAAAATGTGACTGATTAATATTATTTTTAAATACTTTTTGCTAAGAAACTTACTTTACTACCTACTTACTAGGTTGTTATATGAAAGTAGTCTATTTAGTCGATGTTAAGAGAGATTTTTGTTAATTTTCAACGTTTATTTGCATAGTTTGTTACATAAAGGTTTTTTCAATTTATGTGAGTTTAAAGAGATCTCAGTGATGCTTAAAAAAGAATAAATTTAACATGAAGACTGAGTGATTTTAAGTCTGGTTAGTCTGACTCTGAGTCTGATTAGTTAAGAGTGATTAAATTAGCTAGGTGTATACTGTAAAATATGTTGATTTTTGTCTAAATTTTGATTTGTTGATTTCTGTAAGATTTTCTTATTTTTTATTAACCCTTAATACCGAAATAATCCCGGGATCCCGGGATTGACTAAGTATAATCCCGAAATCCCGGGATTAGAAATAAGGACAGGGATCGAATTCCCTAAGCATATATCATTATATTAGACAGTAATATATGATTAATTTTACATTAATAGTTACAAGCAACCCAGATAAAGTAGCCATTTTGTAAAAATGCAGCACCCTCTATAGTTCATGAAAAACACAAATAGCATATAGTAAATTTTAAAATAATCTAAGATAATATTTATCACATGCTCAAAATGTTCATAAGAAATAAACCATTATATGGTATTAAATAAACAATTAAATAACAATTTAAATTAATTGTTAATGTTGAATGTGAGAAGTTAAGGTGCAAATTTTCTTTAAAAAAAAAAAAAGACTAAAAATGTGATGGATTTTTGTGAGAAAAGGGATTTAAAAAAGTGCTCCTGAAGCATATAAAAGTAAAATCATTTTATTGTGCATAAAAGTATACATATAACACAAAACTTGAGAAAATGATAGAAAATTCAAATCAATTGGACACGTTCAGAGTCTGATCCATCAGTTTCATGGTTTACAAATAGAAAAACATTGTACTTATAAACACAAGTTGTTCTACATTCTCCAAGATCAGTTATCGATAGTACAAAAAGAGTGAATCTTTGAACTATTCATGTTGAGATGATCTGTTATCAACAGATTTGAGAGGAATGTATTTGGTTTTTGCTAAAACCTTCAGTTTTTTATGACTGAAGGGACTCAGGAATTATATTTTGAATATCCATATTTTTATTCAGAGAATGATTCAGTTTCTGTAAAGCAAATTCATCAACTAGTTTTTGATATTTTTAAAAATCTCCCACTACTACTCAGTAGATGACTTTCTCAAGCTTAGATATTGAACTACACAGAAACTTATATGAATAAATAGTGTAACATTCCTTTAACACAGACTCTTGAATTTCATTGCAGCCACAACAGATTTTCATCTAGTTTAGCAATGCATACTCCCATTAATGAAAAATTTTCAGCATAAAAACATGTCACTTGAATTCATGTGGCCACCTGGAATTTTAGGAGTGGCAAGCCATTATATCTTTATATAGATGTAAATTCACAAGACATTTGATCAAAGCCTTTTTCATTTCTGAAATGAAATATGACCCAAGAAAATTCTGTCCTAGCTGCTTCACATACCCTGTTAAGGCAATGGACAGGACAAGTGACAATCTCAGATTTGGTTTCATCAACTTTATATTTGAGAATGCACTTGGCAGGTATGGTGCCTAAACTGTTATAAATAACCAAACTTTTTCATATAGAGTGGCAATGTTTCACAATCTGGAACATGTATCATTGAAGGTATACATAACAGGTGTAAAATTTGTCTTTTGTAATCTGTACACTCTTAATAGTAAGAGTTGTCTTGGTTCCTCTATTAATGGACCAACAAGAATATTCAGCATATACCTTTTTTAGCACATCCATTGTTTTATCCAAAATAAAAAGACTGAATTATTTCCTACTTCCTGAACATTTTTGAAAGTTGCTTCATACGCAGGTTACACATAGCTTCACTTTAGCATGCTTTGGTCAGGAATTGAATGCTGGTATACTTTTTAGAAAGTTTTTGAATGCAGAATGATTTACCTTATTAAAAGTAATCTCTGACTGTATTAAAGCTGTAGCCAGTTCACATGAAAATTCAACCTTCTTCTTTGCATTGTCTCTTGCAGAATTCAATAATACGAAAATAAAACTCTGTGCTTTCTTTCTTTCTTTGTTAGAGATATGTTTTGCATAATTAATATGCTGCTTAACTTGTGAAGAGAAATGCTTTTCATCCAAATTTATGGTAAAACACAAATTTACGGTAAAACACAAATTTACATCTCAAAATACTATCATCAGTCATAATTTCTTTATCATTAAAATTATTTACTAACTCCTTCAGTTTTGACTTTGGTATTTTCAACATTTTTAAACTAGTAAACTGTCATGTCACTTCCATCCCTTTCTCACTTTTGTGAACAATGGAATTGTCCTTATTATTTTACATCAGAGGAAGATTTATCAAAATAGCAAAAAAAACTATTAATTAAAACTTTAATTTCAGATTTATAAACAGAATTAGAAAATATACAAAATATTCTCAACAGTAAAAAAAAAAGAAAAAGAGAGAAATAATACCCTTCAAAGAACCAACCTGTAATATTTTGAAATAGTCCTCTATGCAAATAACAAAAAGAAGGAGCACTTCAACTTCTCAATTTTTGTTATTGTATATTGTAAGTAGAGATGTTCTGATTAATCATTTGCTAAAATCATTAATTGCACTAACTGGCTCCTCAACTAATTAATTGTAATTTAATAATTTTTAATTTAAAAAATAATAAACATTAAGAAATGATGTCCAAAGAAACTATAGCTTTATCAATAACATTAATAATTTCCCAGAAAAATTAAGGCAAGACATACAGTTCGCAGAAAACTGCTAATATTTGTATTTGTGTTATCAGTCTGAAATTTAATTAACAATGACTAAACAAATTTTAGTAGTTTCCGATTAATGGGATGCCAACCAATATGTACAACAACAGGTAAGATTCAAACTCTAAATGAGAGGTTTCACACAACCACCAGAATTGTTGACCTTTTGCAAGATATTTGTCCAAAAGTCAGTTTTTAACACGTATCATTCTACTGCCTTTTCTACTGCATATAGACATGCGTCTCAGTACTCACTATTGCTCGCACCTCAGCATCCAGATGGAGTGGGCCTAAAATTATATAACATCAAGTACACCACAAACAGTCAAGTGGGCTACTCAAAGCTGTCACAGTCACGTGGGCTAAATTGTTAAACGCGATAGTCTTCTGGCATCCCATTAACCAAAAAGAACCTAAATTTTTAACAATTAAAATATTTTAAATTAATTAGACAATAATAACTAACCATTATCACTTAATAAATCCTTCATTTTTTCCCAATTTAAAGTTCCTGTATGTTTAAGTACATCTCTTTCTTCACAGCTGATTGCCAATGAACATAATATATGATGAACAGGTGGAGATAAACAGGTTTCAAGAGAAACCCAGTTTTCTTTCTCAGGTGTACACATCTGTATCCTGTCAAGATGAATAAATTGTGCTGTAATCTAATTTGTTTTCAAACAAAAATACCGGTACTTGCATCTTATATATTCAGTTATATAAACGAAAACATCTCTAATCTTAATTTTTATAGAGTTAAATACATTAAAAGTCTACGTAGATCTTAAATCGTTTATATCTTGATTCAGTTCAAGTCAAATAATTCTCTGTATAACTTCAGGTATTTTTATATATTGAGTTAAATAATCTTATCTTCTTGATTACATCTATTTGCTTAACTTCTAAACTTATCTGACGATTTTAGCAACTTCATCAATGCACTCATTGAAGACAAACGTAAACAATCTGTTACCGAACACGTGCTAACGTTAATGCTAAAAAGATTGATTATTTCTAATAAAGCATGATGTAAATTTTCAATAATTTTACTTTCTACTGTTTGATTTATAACTTTTTATATAAATTTATAAATAATTCATATTCTTTTTCTATAAACAAAGAATTTCATCATTTCTTAATAGGAAAACCGAATATACCTATAGTCACATGCACGGTTCTTAAAATAAAATATAGTTTTTCTTAAAATAATTCTAATAAAACATTTTNATATATATATATACATATATATATTCAATTTTGCTTAGCAATTCTATTCTGATATTATTGATCCTGATTTGCTTTTAAACGACCGGATGGCCAAGCGGTTAAGGTGGCAGTCTATCGCTCTGTAGACCCGGAACTGAACCCACACAAGTCGAAAAACCTCAGGAATTTTTCCTGATAATCCGATCCGAATATATTTGGGCCCATCCCTCATCATTCAACCGTCACATTGTGGGTCTGGCGGAACCCATAATGGGCATGCTAAAAAGGCCTTCTTGGTGCCTATAGGGCGAAAAAAGTTTTTTTTTTTTTTAAATTTGGACTTATTCACTAGTGGCCAAGTGAATATAACTACTGAACACTGATCGTTAGTCACGGATTCGCATCTGACCAACGGGCTGGATGTGAGGAGTTAGATACGTGAATAAAATCTTTCTAGGTTTAATTCACTTATCTAACATCTAAATAGACCCAGTTTCCCATAGAATGTCCTCTCGGAATACAGCTCTCTTTGGCAGATCGGCCTTGTGTTTTGTTACACGAACCCGTCAACCAATCAACCAACGAATTTGACCGGGACTTAAACTCGGATCCCCAGAAAAGCAAGCTGACGCCTTTACAGTCTGAACAATCTATGGCCTGATGGCCGATCCGTCAAGGTGACAGCCCACCGCTCTGAGGAACCCGGGATAGGATCGAAAAAATCCCCAGGAATTTTTCGGGGGTTGGTTGGGCCCGTCCTGATTACCCGGCTACCCCATTGTGAGCCTGGCCGAACCCATAATGGGCTTACTAAAAGAAGCCCTCAGTGCCCACAGGGCGAAAAGAAAAAAAAAACAATCTGGTCATCAAATCCTCTATTTCTCAGCAATACCGGCGCTCAGTACGAGGAAAATATATTTCTTTATTTAAATTATTATTTTCGTTACATTTAATTAATGTATTTATTGTTATGCCAAATTGATTTTTTCGATCGAGAGGCCCCATAATGTCGTCTTTTTTTAAGGCTCTCATGAAGCATGTTCCATCTGTTTTCAATTATTTTTATCAGCCAATAAAAGTTTAAAAGACAAATTCGAATCTTCAAAGTAGGCAGAATATTTATACGGTCGGTTTTCGCAACAATTCAAGTTCGATTGAACTTTCATGGATAAAAAACTCAACGCTTATTTGTCATCTCTCACTCAAGCCGATCAACCAGCTTAGGAGAGAGATAAGGAGTAATGGTCTATTAAGAATCAAGCAACCACTCATAGGCACGGATAAAAATTGAGATTGATATATTCAAGTACATATACAATGGCCGGATGGCCAAGCGGTCAAGGTGGCAGCCTACCGCTCTGGGGGACCCGGTCTCGAATCCTAACGGGTCGAAAAATCCCCAGGAATCTTTCGGGGGGTGGTCCGTTCGGATATGTCGGGCCCCGTCCCTCACCACCCGGCAGCCCCATTATGGGCCTGGCCAAATCCATAATGGGCTTGCAAAAAGAGGCCCTCTTAGTGCCCACAGGGCGAAAAGAGTTTTTAAAAAAAAGTACATATATAGTAATACTGTACCTATATAAATAAAAATGTAAATGTTCGTTTGATCAAAATCTTAAATCTCCGAAAGTTCTTAACCGATTGCTTTGAAATTTTAACGCAACGTTTCATTCGAATACGCGCAACGTTGTGTCAAAATTGTTTTAATATTATATAGATGTCGAAATTCCCCCTTCCCGCGGGGGAGAGGAACAAAATTAAGGCTTACCGTGAAGAGCTGGTCTTCTATTATTCTATTTTAGATGCGGTTTGTTGCATTTTTGATTGCGTTTTAATAGGGTACGTGGAGAGAATGTACACTAAGAAGGGATTTTTCCCTCCAGCGAAGAGTGTTATACATTTATAATAGATACATTTTGAGACACAGCAACGCGTGGCCGGGTACAGCTAGTATATATATAATTTTTTTATTCCTTTATTTTTAATTTATTCCTATATTCCGTGTTATAAGGGAGTTTATTGCTATTCGCTTTTACTCCGGAAGGGAAGAAGAGACAGCAGATGGATCGCAAGGCGACGGCAGAGCCGGCCTTATAGAAGACGGCCTTCTATTCCTTTATTTTAAACTATTTCTATTATACTGACATTTAAGATAACTATAATCATGCTCAACATAATTTGGCGCAACCCACAATTTAACCAGTCATAAGGTAAGGAGCGGAACCAAATATCAATGTATGCAGGTAAATTTACACATGAGGAATTGACTCGTCTAGGTCTCGAATTCAGGTCTTCCAGGGTGATAGCAGGGGCAGGCCGAAGAGATAAGTGTTTCTTCCATCTCGGCTATCCGGCTAACCAGACCGGCATATCGTTTAAACATTTCTGCCTTTTTTTTTTTTTTTTTTTTTTTAACAAATCAATCAATCTTTTAGTGTTGATATAGGCCAGCCTAATTACCAAGGCGGCAAAGGTGTCAACCTACTTCCATGGAGGACTCAGGATCGACTGTAGGCGAAAACGTCAGAATTATTCTGTGTGGTCTGTCCCGGATGTGTTGCCCACGTGACTTCCCTCCCTCATAATTTCGATGATTAAATTTGAATTCTTAGACTAATATTTTAATTAGACTTTGGAAGACTTGAAGATAAAAAGTTATAAGCATAAAAGTTATACTGAATTTTATTAGCGCTAGTACTGATTGATTTTTGAGTATAATAAATAGAAAATAACAAAATTAGTAAATAGAATACGATGAAAAAGTACTGTAGGGTCTGATGAAAAATAGAATCTTTTTATGTCCATTATAAATTCGGTCTTACCAATGGTGCGGCCGAATTTGCAGATATGTTGCAATAGACTGAATTTATTCCACTTTGAATCGGATTCACTGTTGTAAATCCTATTCAAAGTGGAATTCGGATACCACAACAGATTCAAGTTGGCATTTTGATCGATTAATTAACTTGAGACACTATGATTTTATCAGTTGATCACTTAGCCGAGGCGGCCTAAACAAAAAGTTAACCTCATAAGATATTATATAGAGATGTATCAGATTGTCAATAGTCTTATCTACGATACATTAAAAATTCTGAAAACAGTATAACATACAATCCAGCAGATGTAATATTTAAAAGAATTTGAAACTTGTAGAATGACAATTCAAATTTAATTGCACTTGACGTCATTGAATGGAACGGTTCAAATAAATACAGTACAAAGTAGCATTACCAGTTTTTGTATCAATATATCGTGCTCTAAATCCGACCGGATGGCCGAGCGGTTAATTAAAGTCTCAGCCTCTCACATTGGAGGATCTGGAAACGAATCCAGACCAATTAAAAATCCTCAGTAATTTTTCGGGTGTGGTCTGTTTCGGATATATCGTTTTATATTCTTCATCACCAGACCGCTCTGGTTAAGGTGGCAGCCTACCACTCTAGGGGACCCAGAATTGAATCCGGAAATCCCAGGAACTTTTCGAGGGATAATTCTGACTCGGATATACCGGGCTCCGTCCCTCTTTACCTGGCCGCCCCATTGTGGGCATGACCGCATTATAATGAATCTGAAAAAGCCCTCTTATTACTCACAGGACGGAAAGAATTTTAAAAAATCTAATATCTAATCTTTAACTTTAAAAACAAATAAAATTACAACTCTGGCAGTTACAATCACTGAGCAAATAAATTTAATAAAACATAATTTATTTTCATTTCAAATAAATATTTAAACAGCAATCTTTTTCACGAAAGATAATTCTTTAAGTTTTATAAGATTTCAAACAACGAGTTTGTGGGCCGCCTTCAAGTAATTTCCCTGTCTTATTTCGATTGCCATTTCGCCCCGTATATAGTTTAAACATTCCATGACTATTCAAAATGTACGAAATGATTAAACAAATCTGATTTAACTAAAAATCGTTCAACTGTAAGTTTTGATCAGTTGAAATCACACAATTGCTTTTACTGTTAAAAATTAAATAAGCTTTAATAAAAATTCGCGATAAAATTTTGTCTTATTAGCAATTGTATTTATAATACAATATTATTTATTAATAATATTTATTTTTTAATTACTTAAAAAATAATAATAATTAAAAATAAAAGACAGTAAGCAAAGTAGCGATTAGAGCGTCGTCAACCGTCCGAATCAGTCTTCAGATTCTGTACATTTCAGATAGGTATCAGTAGTATTGATTCGGACATTGAAAAGAGGAGTGTTACGCGGAGAAAAATACAATTCACTAGCAATTTAGTATAGTGAAGAGCAATGTTAAAATCTAAACCATCTGTAAATATAGTATAGATTTTACTGACGCACCGATGAAAACTGACGATCGACATCGTTGGAATAGGCTTAATTGTTTTGAATGTGAATTACTTCGTTTTGCATTTTAATTTCAACTCATCACATTTTTTTTTCTTCTAAAATTATGGATGTAGTCTTGTTGTTGGATTTTTATAGTATCAGATGATAATATATTGGTGTGATAAATATTCAAGATCGATTTCTTCAGCTTATATCTTATCTTAAAAATTTTTACTAATTATTTTTTAATAATTGTCGAACGAAACGATGTCGTCGCATTCTGTTTCTTCGACAACATTTGTCGATAAAATAGATCCATTCAAGAAAGGATCACTAAAAAGAAAGCAAAAAAAGTCTCAGGGATCGTCCCGATACAGATCAACCAATGATGTAGAGTTGCAAGCTCTCCCACTACTCAAAGGTAAATGTTGATAATTATCTACATTCATTTCTATTTATTAGTTATAAAAATTTTATAATACAAATATTAGTTGAATAAATTATTATAGTTAATAAATTAAGGTAGTTACTATATTCTTTTATTGTTTTTAATATTGTAAAACCTACACTGAATTAAATAGATCTGATCTTTGCCTTTTCATCTGATTTGTATGTATATAATACTGTTATGGTTAAAATATGTTCGTTGTAACGTGAATCGGCATAAAATTTGAATAAAGTTATTCCGTATAAATAGCGACGAATGATGCGAGTTTTTAAATTTTATTTCTGTATATGTTAAAACTTTAAAGTTTTAATTAATGTTGTTCTAATAATTGATTATAGAAGGAAAAGAAATCTATTGTGTAATTGTGTGAAACTAACAATAATTTAGTCTATTTTGTAAAATAAACATCTGAATTTTCTTAAAAATAGAAATGGTAAAATGATGACAAGATTATATGGGATGTTCTACTCAAACATCCCACTCAAACATCCCTAGTACTATTCTGTAAAATCTGTTTGTTTGGATATGTGAATAAAATTTGTTGGAGAATGTTGGTAAATACTCCAAGTTTTGTGTGCTTGTGCTCGAAAGGGTCGCTGTTGATGCATGATGGCATTCTGGACCTCAACTGGGACCATGTGGTCTAGATTGTGGAGGTCCCATTTTTGGTTCGCCTAATCACCTGACATCATCTCTGAACTTTTTCTTTGTGTGTGTGCCAAGGATTGTGTATGTTATAAAAGTGCTGGATGTGAGAGCCCCATGTACGAGAATTGTGGATGCCATTAACAGCAAGACTTCTGACATGCTACGTTATGATGCATTTTCCATTCTAATGTACTTACCACTTCAGGAGGATATGTGGAAATGTACAGTACTGATTTAATTTAGTATGTAACATTTTTTAGATGCACGTTCAATTACCATTGTTTACAATACTATACTCACATTTCTTCTTCCAAAATTAATCCACAAAACTAGGAATGTTTGAAGGGACACCCTATATTTTCTGTTGATGCTGTTAAAAGATATAATTTTTATTATTACAGTATTAAATATAAATAAATATATATATATATATTTATATTTATGAGCTTCTCTTTTATTTTTGTGTAGAATATTATTAAAATCTTAGGGAATGATGCCTTTTTTTTTGCAATTATATATTTAAATGGATAAGATTCAATGTCTGAATAAGGTGTTTTGCATCCCCAAGAATTGTAGACCCCTATACAAGCAACAAAGTCAGAAACTGGTATACTACTTTCTACTTTGTACTAACATCAAGTATTTCATGAACACTCAAGTTGACTACTTAAAGTCAGCATAGTTGTGGGCTAAATAGTTAAACATAATAGTCTTAGTGGAATGATCCAACTTGCGATCTTGCACGAACTGATTTTGGGAGCTATATCTCGCAAAGGGTTGTTTGTAGAGATATGGTTTTTTTTACTTTTTTGCTCCTATGGATATGCTGTACTAAGCTCCCAACCATCTCATTCACAGCTTGAATTGAGCTTTTACATGAATAAAATAGTATTTTCTTAGCACACTGTTGCCATTGAGAACACTTTCAGAGGAAAAAGGTTGTTTTATTGGTGTGAACAAATATGCATTTTGGGCTTAACGCCCCTCTTCAGTCTTATTATAACATATTTATCAGTAAATTGATTACAGGTTTACAAATTTACAGAATGCATTGAAAAAATTAGGATACGCATATAATGGTTTATATAATACAACTTAATTACCTGAGATAAACCAGTTAAACCAACATGACTCGTAAGAAGATATACACATACAGTGGTTCCTCATATAATGTACTTAATCCGTTCCAGGTGCACGTCCGTTAAGCGAATAGTCCGTTATACGAAACGCATTTTTCCATAGAAATACGTGTAAAAACATATAATTCGTTCCGCGGCATAAAATAACCATACTGTACCACAAAAAAAAAAAATGAAAATGGAGCGGTCATCAATTATGCAGGGTAGTCAGATGTTGTGAGGTGGAGGAACACTTTCTTCACACATTCATACAGATACAGACTTTTTACACATTACAGTGGGTCTTTTTTTTATTGTTTTTTAATCGGATTCAGATTCAGAAGAGGCTACCGAAGCTTGCGGGGTCAACTCCTCTTGTTCCATCCTTTGTTTTTTCCCTGCTGGCTTCTTGAAAAACATGTCCAAGATGGTCTGTTTCTCTCTCTTCTTCGACACCAGTCAGAAATGACGGGCAAGGGAGTCATTGTAGAGATCATTGATCCTGTTGGCCTAGGCTCTGTTTGGATAATGAGTGTTGGTAAACTCTTGAACCTCTCCCCATTCGACAAGGAAGTTTTTGTCAACTTTCACTCCTTCTGATGATTTCTTGTATTGTTTCAATTGAAATCACTTTTCTGTTTTTTTTAGAAGCCACGATTTGAGCAACAGTTGAATAAATGTAAATACCCTGCACTGAGGTGATGTACGTAATAAACAAGGGAGCGAGCCTAATCCCAACGGGAGCTCTGTACTTCAGATATACTGAATAATATATTCTAATAATACTAATATATTATAAAAATAGCAGATTGTCATTGGCAATGGCAAAAGAGTGGAAACATCATTCGCACTTGTTCGTAGAAAGTCCATTGTTCGCAGCCAGTCCGTTGCTCGAGTCACGTAACGGCCAAACAGAAAGTCGGTTATTCGCAGCGTCCGTTATATGAGGCACCACTGTAGTTGAAAAAGAAAAAGGAGATAAAAGTTCTTTTGGCTCCACACATATACACATTAGGATAGTATAGCATGTGCTAAAATAAAGAAAAGGGGTAAACTTAAATCTAAAATTAAGTATATATTAAGAGGTGGAATTTTTTAAAATTAATAACGGAATACCTGTAGGGTGTGAAATAATTCTGATGAGATGTACAGAGAACATAGACAAGATATGAGAGGTTAAAAAGAAGTGTAACATTGATCCTTGTAACATACACAGAAAGTTTGGTGTGACTTGCACAGTGGGGTATGATAGAGGGAGGTATCACCCCTTTTTTTTATTGTAGCACATGTTATACTATCCTAATGTGAATGTGTGGAGCCAAAAGACTTTTAGCTCCTTTTTCCTTTTTCAACTAAGTGTATATCTTCTTAAGAGTCATGTTGGTTTAACTGATTTAGCTCAGGTAATTAAGTTGTATTATATAAACCATTGTATGCATATCCTAATTTTTTCAATGCATTCTGTAAATTTGTAAACCTGTAATCAATTTACTGATAAATATGTAATAATAGGACTGAAGAGGGGCGTTAAGCCTGAAATGCATATCCGTTCACACCTGTGTGATAAGTTCTCAACAGCAACATTGTACTAAGAAAATACATATAATAGAGAACAACAAGCAACCAAGATTTAATAAAATTGTATTTAAAAAGTAAATTTACTGTTAATTAATTTTAAATATTTAAAACATTAATTTTCTAAGTTGGCATTAGTTCTTGACATTAATTTATCCTTTCTTTTTCAGTTATTATATATCATTGCTATAAAATTTAAAGAATTTCAGAAATTTAAAATTGAAGTATTTATTTCATATAGTTTATTTTGAATTTTAACATGAAATCTATCTCATTTCCATATTTCAATATAATGTTAAGTAGAAAATTGTTGTGTTGGAAAGATCTGATTTGTGAATTTCTGCTTGCTGATCTTGATATCCACAAGTTTCCAGAGAAGGTTTATGTACTTTTCTGTACCATAGTGCCTCTGTCTCACCACTATTAAGATACTGCAAGAACTGCAAAACTGTAGAATTGAGAATATAATTGATTTTGAAATTACTAATAGAAATTCATTCATAACATCCACTTTGTTAGAAATTGTAAGGGTTTTTATATTTTAAATTATAAAGAAAATATTTTCAATTGTTTTTACACAAGTTTAAATTTTTTCTAATGCAAAGAAAAAAGTGTACTACATGCATTGTGGGGAAATATTTTTTAAAAGTGATAAAAATTTAAAGTAAAATTAAGAAAACCTGAATCCTATTTTTTTTGTTTGTTTGTTTGTTTCTAGAAAATAATTGGCAAAATTGGCTTCTGTAATTTTACTAATATTTCACTGTTATTATCTATCCAGAAATATTTATATCATTGTTTAATTCATAAAGTAGTCCAAATTATTCACAGAATATTGTGAATTAAGTCTAATGCAAAGTTTTTGGAGTTTTTCATAGTTTCTTCTACAGACTTGTATATTCTAATTTATTTTCATCAATTAGTATGATAAAATTGTGGAATAATGATATGAGAGAATGCCACCTTTGGAATATCCAGCTATATTTGAATATCTATGATTACCAAGAAGTGCTTAATTATAAGTGTGTTGATTCTAATAATTATTTTTCAAGTGGTAACAATTTTAATTAATTAATAAATTATCACAAAATACACAAAACATTTGTCACACAAAATATTGTCACAAAACACTTGTGTTCTTAAGACAAATGTAGAGCCATCATAAAGCTCTATCTGCAAGTAATAGTTCTGTATGGACTTGTGTCTTATGATGGCAAAGTTACTTATCTAGCTGGATGTACTGTACATGCATGGCATTACCCATTCTCTTCTTAAATTTTCATCACAGGGAAATGAATGTAACTGGAACGGTTGAATACATGGATGATCTCGATGCATCATGTTTTCGTGTACATCCAATACAGCTTCAAACCATTTATAAAGAACACTCTGGCCATTATGGCATCCAACCACTGTACAATATTTATAAGAATTTGTTTTATAAGGCATGTCACCAATAAAAAACTAAAAACTGCAGGCCTACACTAACAACTAGCAGTATTTTAATGACTGCCAAGACATATGGCAGAATTCAAAAACACATTCTGGAATCTTGTGGATATACTTACCAAACTATTAGAGAGGTTGCAGCTGAAGTTTTCATCACAAAAATGTGAACATCAAACGTTGAGC